GGGGGGAGGCGAGGGGAGCCGCCCCCGGGCGGGGAGGCCGCGGCCGTGGCCGCGCGTGTCGCATCCGCCTCGGTTTTCCCCTTTGCTGCGTGGGTGTGCGCTGGCCCGCGCGGCGGCGGCGCGCCTAGGGCTCACGGGTGGGTCTGGCGAGCGGCGGGACCGTGGTGGTCAAAGTGCAGCCACACTCCGGGGGTGAACGGTTCCCGTGCGCGGCGTGCAGAAGCGAGGGTGGCTTTGTTGGCGCGTGCGAAACTCGAACGCTTGGCGCGCTGAGGGCAAGTGTGCAAAACCTCTGGAAATGTACGTAACGGGCAGAACTCTGCTGCCGTCCCTGACCTTAACTCATAACCGATGGCTCTCGTGCTGCCCTGCTTGCTCTTCTTTCCGTCATTTCTGTGAAAGATGGGCTTCACAGCACCAGCCCGTCGCCACATGCCTTCTTACAAGCCTATGTGTGAAACGGACTACACAGTTACACAGTGCTAGAAATTAAGTGGTTTATAATACACCTTTGATTTATGGGCAGTTATGTGACTAAAACTGATGACCGCCTTTCATTCAGACTAAGAAATGGAGCCGTTAAATGCCCCTTTGTCTAATGACAGTGGAAAACATCAGCGACTGCAGACTAAACCGAATGTAAGCGTGGAGGGTAGGGAGTCCATGCCTGAGACTGCATTTTTCTGTGAATCAGAGCTAGAACAGCCAAGAAACAGCCTCAGGGTGGGGTTTCATGATCGGCAGAAACCAGTGTAAGCATGTGCCATTCCTAAGAGATGGTGGCAGGTGTGGACATTAGCACTCTCGTGGGTGTACAGTCAGACAGATGAGGGCATTGATCCAGCTGCAAATTAATGCTGCAACAAATGATTAGTTTCCGTCTGAGTCAGCTCCATAATTGTCATGGTTTACCCCCAGCCAGCAGCTAAGCACCACGCAGCCGCTCACTCACTCCCCCCCCATCCAGTGGGATGGGGGAGAAAATCAGGAAAAGAAGTAAAACTCCTGGGTTGAGATAAGAACAGTTTAATAGAACAGAAAAGAAGAAACTAATAATGATAATGATAAGACTAATAAAATGACAACAGCAATAATGAAAGGATTGGAATGTACAAATGATGCACAGTGCAATTGCTCACCCCCTGCTGACCGACACCCAGCCAGTCCCCCAGCGGCAATTCCCCGCCCCCACGTCCCAGTTCCTAAACTAGATGGGACGTCCCATGATATGGAATACACTGTTGGCCAGTTTGGGTCAGGTGCCCTGGCTGGGCATGAGAAGCTGAAAAATCCTTGACTCTAGTCTAAACACTACTGAGCAACAACTGAAAACATCAGTGTTATCAACATTCTTCACATACTGAACTCAAAACATAGCACTGTACCAGCTACTAGGAAGACAGTTAACTCTATCCCAGCTGAAACCAGGACAATAATCCAGCCAAGCCCATAGTTACACATGCACTAGTGGGACCAGACCACCGCTTGCCACAGTAGCACCATGGATTTAGACTGGACTAAGCCGATCAGGAAACTACACCTTGAGAAATGCTACTCATGCGGCCTCAAGATAGGTGAAGAGAAAGCTTTCTGAGCTCTGTACTGCTTAGAAGTGTGCTTTGGAATTCAGAAATGGAAATTGTCTCTTGGAAGTTGTTCTTAGCAGGGCTGCGGAAAGAGGCCTTTGACTATGCATTTTGTAAATAATTAAAAAAAAATCTGTTCTCTAAACAATTTTCAAGTACGTGGTCTGTTTCTATCTTGATACAGACATGCACAACATCATCCAAAGTACTGACTTACTACTCAGGTCAAGAGAAGTAAAAATATTTTACAAGATACAGAGAAAGAGTATGCGACCTCTGTTTAAACACTGACCTGGTCATGCTGAAGGGGTGAAGACAAAGCCACACAAGGAAACTGATTTCTGGGGGGGTTCACCTGCATTCGTTAGCATCCTGTTCTGTGCACAGTCTGGGCTCAATACCATACCACCACGCCACCTAGCAAACATCTATTTTTCTGGAAAAAAACTAAAATCAGTGACAGAATGAGCTTTCTTTTTTTTTTAATGTTTATTATTTATTGTTAATACGGTTTTGTAGGACCAAAAAACCCAAGTCAAAGAGTTGAGGAAAGGCTTCACAAGCGATGGAGACACAATTCCCTCTCCCAGGGGACAGCTAAGTAGTCCAGCTGACTGGCATGAATCCAGCAGGATGACCATTTCAGGAGCATCTACAAAAAGTAAAGTTAATATGGCTTTCCAGTGTGCCTCTGGGAGCAGTTCAGTCATGTTTTGGATGGTGCAGAGGCTCATGAGGGACATATATTCCAAAACAATAACAGTACTGTGGCTCTAAAGGTGGTCTGTACCAAATGACACCAAAAGTGCTTAAGCAGCAATGCTATCCATGATCCTAATCTTTCATACTGCCCTGATCGACTTATTCCAGCTCCATGTCTTTTGTCCCCATGCTCCTCCCAGCTGGCAGAGCAATGCTTGCTGCATGCTCTTTCTGCTTCAGCAGCTGAGAGACAGATCATATATGCCACGGAGACATCCTAGCTAGTAGGTGGGAGAAGAGGACTACCTCTTCTCAGTGCTCTTCTGTCAAGACTCAGGTTAATGAGCCTGCTCTGAGGCTGCAGGATCACATTCAGTTTCCTTCGACAGCTGAGGAGTTTCCTTTGACAGCTGAGTCTTCCACCTAAGGAGTTTCCATCTTGGCTCTTTGCACACTCTCCTCTATGTCTACACAACAATAATAAACCAGGTCAATGAACTAAATATATCCCAGCAAGAATTAAATTACACGTTGTAACTGAGGCAATCTGACAGCCCTTGGTACCATCCCATTCCTCCCCTCCTTCTCCACACACCTCGCTGTCTACTTTATACCAACGCTGGTCTTCAGCAGGCCCTGACTCCAGTCAACCTGTCTCACCAGCAGAAAAATTACACGGGAAGGGAAAACCATTTTGACGGGTGAGTTGCATTGTCTCTGATAAGCTGTATGGCTGGCCCAGAGGAGGATGCAGGAAGCCAGAAGAAAGGAATGTCTGGGGGTCTCAGATGACATCTTGAGAAATTATTCCCTTTACCAACAACATCTCACTTTTGCTCCAGGACATGGTCTGACTCACTCAGCTACTTATTTTTTGTCTCATTTTTCCTCCCTTTTTCCCTCATTTTTTCTTTTCTGCTACCGTGTTTTATTTTGTCTCATTTTTAGCTGCTGACCATTTGAGGCAAGGTTCATCATTATTCGGAGTTTACAGAGCCATAAGTAGAAAGAGGGACCGATCCTGCGCCAAGTAGGGGAAAACTGCAGTCCCGTAAGCCATAGGTCTTCAGATGTTTTAAAAACATTCCCCTGCAAAAACCCATAATGTCAGTAGATGGTGCTATATACATAGTTTTAGGAATGCTTTTTGGCCGAGGTTTACCCAACCGGTAACATTTCCTTTGTGTTTGAGTGTAATATCCCTGGAAACCTAGAAGCCACATAATTTAAGAAATATTTGGCTTTTATCAGGGAATCACTGCAGAGACCTAAAAGCTTTCCACTCCATGGCGTCATGTCATATAGTACTACCTGTACTGTATGACTAATCATGGAGTAATTCAGTGAAAGCAACTGTTTGATGTATGCAAGTGCTGTAGTTCTGATATTTCATTAGCTGATATATATTTTCTAAAAGTGTGAGGAGCTATTCTTCATGCACTTTTCTCTTTTGAGAAGTCTCTCAACTTCCCTTTCTAAACCTAATTACTCTCAGTTTCCTTCAAACAACCTCATGTATTGTTTATGTGGAGCTCAAATACAACATCTTGCAGACAAACTGTGGTCATCAGGACCAGCTTTCCTGTATCTCAGTGCCAGATTGATTCCTCCTTTCATTTCATCTTTGAGATGAAAATATTTTACTCCCTTACATACTTCATTTAAATTTTTCTCTACAGCTGCTAACTGAAACTGTATTAAGGAACCGTATCATTAAAGCTATATTGCAAGGCTTTTTTTGTGGCAGAGCAGATAATTACATTTAAAAAAGATGAATCAATATTTACCTTTTATTTCTGTGGAAAACTAGAGCTTTTAAGTGTAATGTTTTCAGAAGATTAAGGCTGAAGGAGAAAAAGGCTTCAAAATCCTATTACAAAACCAGTCTAAAAAGCTCAGTTAGCAACAGAGGCTTTTTACCTGTTATGGAGATAGATCACGTTACAGCAAAAAACGACTATCAAACTGATCATATTCCTTTAGGAACACAAAGAGGTTGTGAGCAGGATTAAAAGAACAGAGAGGGGAAAAAAATGTGTAATATTCTAGTGAAGAAAGCGAAATATAGCTTAGTACAGTGTGTGCCTAGTAACTTCTAGCCATTCTGAAGAACAATAATTTCCATCAGAAAAAAAGAACCTGTTTCTCAGTATGGAATAGACTTCTGTGAATTCCAAAGCGTAATGGGGCCA